GGGGGGGGGGCATTTGTGGAGGAGGCATTTGAGGGGGTAGTATTTGAGGAGGTGGCATCTGGGGCGGGGACATCTGGGGAGGGGGCATCTGTGGAGGAGGCATTTGAAGGGGTAGTATTTGAGGGGGTGGCATTTGAGGGGGTTGCATCTGAGGGGGTGGCATCTGGGGAGGAGGCATCTGGAGAGGAGACATCTGAGGGGGTGGCATGCGCATCGGGGGCACGATGGGTAGTTGAGGGGGTTGCTGCATTGCCAGCTGTATCGGTAGAATGGGTTGTTCACCGTTGGCGATCAGCTGATCGGCCGGGATGATAACACCGTTGTAGTTCTGAAGCTGATTGATGATATCAATTGGCCTCACGTCTCCGTTTTCGCTTATCGCCGAACCTGAACAATTGAACAACGGCTAGACATTGAACAACGATCGCAATCGTGTCCACAAATCTTCCTCCCTCAACGAATCAATTCATCGCCTCAACACACCACCGCTCCAACAAATTATGTGGACTTCAAGTATCATTTGGATTTTAATCAAGTGCTTACTGTACTCAAAAACTTCGATTTATTTGAGCGGTTCTCAGTCACTTTAAGCGGACTGAGAGTGCAACCGAGTCACTCACTTATCTTCTCTTATTCAGCACTATGCATTAAGTGATTTTTTAAAAGCCAGAAACAGTCATAATTATATAGCATGAGTGAGGACACCAAGGCCATGCAGAAGAAAACCATGACCATCATAGATTTCACGTTTTTTTGACTTATCATTTCATTATCTTGAATCAGCAACAGATAATTCGTTTTGTTGAAAATCATTCCATGAGAAATTCCAGTCAAAAATAGTGAGTGTACCAAAGGCGCTCAACATTCAAACTCTTCAGTGTGGAAATGAGCGGCATTTAGCATGCATTAACTCGTTAAAATACAAAATGATCCAACTTCGACTACTCGCATATTATTTTCGCCCACTGTCGGACACATCGCCCAGGTTGAGTCAACCTAATTTAACTGATCACCACCATTCATCAACTGATGTTAACGCCTAATTCAGAACTGAGATTGAAACTTGTGAAAGATTGAGTGTTTCAAGACAAACCATCCAATACAATAACTCCTTTCGATGTTTTTTCATTTTGCGACTCATAATCATTACGGCCAACGATCACCACTTGCTGTACTTCAGGTCTTCTCAGTAAGGTTCGGATCTGAATGTGCGCATCATTATTTTGAGACATTCGACATTCTTGTCACAATTTCAATTAGTAATCTTTCCATTTCTTTAAGTTGAATGAATCTTTAACACTGCTAAAATTCAATACAGTAGAAGTAACACTAAAAATGGACACAGCCTATGATCGTTTTACGGAAAATTTTGGTCTTTCACAATTTGTTTTTTCGTCGAGCAAAATGTCTGCTGCTCATTCGTTGTGACTTGTTGTTATTTAACTACAGTAACCCTGAAAGAAAGCACTTTGAAACGCCCAATGATAGTGTGAAATGGAGATAGGGCACAGAAACGGCGGAGAGAACGTTTAGCCTTGTGCAACGTATTTGCCTCAAATGTGCCATCATTCCATCAGCTGAATTGATGCTAACACTAAGAATCATTGAGCAGTTCGAAATTTGCGTTTCATCGCATCGGACAAACAACATTTTAGGCATAAAACATAAACAGCCATTCAATAATGCGCGATCCATATATTTGCTAAGTCCAACCAGCTGATGGGTTTTTCTGCTCATGAGGACTTGAAATATAATAGTTTGGAATGGTGGTTAATGGCTGAAGAAAATGCTCTGATTCGATGCTCCTGACATTATCAGCAGCTAACTGAACAAAAAGCCTTTTCAGTTCATAACTCAGTCATCTTCACTCGAATTTTCCTTTATAACTCATCAAGACATATCTTGTACTACTTGCGGTTTTCATGAACATCGAACACTCGTTGGTTATCCTGATCGACCGAACCTTCAGCTACCACAGCACCGACCACAACATGCTCCCCAGATTCTTCTATCGCTGGCTTTCTGTGTCGAACACATTTTCTAATCCTTTTAAAACCGTCAATCCAAATGCTGCAATGCAGCCAGCTCCCTGGTAATGAATTTTGCCGAATGAATCAAAAACAAACCGCATTAGTGGCATCATCTTCACTGGGTATTTTATTTGAATCATCTGCATTCTCCGCTTGTTTATCATCACGCTCAACACCAGCAGTACCATCAACTGTTGGCTTATCTGTAGCAATTGAATTGTCGTTGTTGATCAGATCGATTTTGGGATTTGTCTCGGTGATGTCGATTACGAATCGATCTGCCGTACGTATTTGTGCTTGTGGCTCATCGTAGTGCTACAATTCAACATTTCTTCACAATTGCCTCAAACAGTCAATCTTCGTTAGTTGTTAATGCGTTTCGGAGACGGGGGAAATCAGGTTTTTCGGGGACAGGGAATTCTCCGAAATTCCCCGCAGCACTCTAGCTATTACCACCGTTATCGACGATATGGTCAAATAGAAATTGATTGTCAAATAGAATCTTCCAAGTCCGAGTTGGTTATTCAAAATTTTTGAGTCCTAAATAGCATCATTTTTTTGTGAGAATTGGTTGAACTGTTTAATTATATCCATGAATTACATCAACTAACGCATCGGAAACCAGTTCATGAGGAAAACGCAAAAAATCTACATTGTTTTTGCTTTTTTTCGCATATATTTACTGAACGATTAAGATTCTTGAAAAAATTTTTTCGAAACTATTGAAAAAGAATCAAGATGAAGAGAAGTGAGTTGAGAAGAATGAAAGAAATTTACTGTGAATTGATGCAATTTTCGATAGACACAATCAGGTGCCAGATGAATTAGTATCGCTGATGTGGCCAATATCCAGAGTAGGAGAATAACTGTGATCAAACAAGGCCAGCGACACTTTGCTCCACTTTTCTCTGATACAATAAAACAAACAATCAAACGATTGTTGAGTGTAATTCTTGAAGTGATTCATTATTTCATTACAATCTCGAAAGGTTCCTCAAGCTATCAACCAAAATACCCTTCTACAGTGCGCAGATCCATTACAATGGCTCGGAGGTGTAGGATGAGAATATTCATTTTGGCTATTTACAGATATTATACTAGGTTTGTTCTCAGGTCGGTCGGTGTGAAACCGTTTCTTGATATTAATCGCTTTAAAATGATTTCTGTGAAATTTAAGGAGTAGGTATAAGTAAGTGTGTGATATACTTATTTCAAGCATTCTGATACTTCCTAGCTTATTTGACAACATTGGTATAATGTTCTGGAAATAAGCACAATTCTGATTATAACAACATTCTAAAGTGATGATAAGTGACAATATGAATTTGTCCATGCAAATGAATGAACGCTCATCAGCGTTCGCTTCCGAATCCAACTAACCGAGTTGCAGTGCGAACGGTAGAATCGTTGTTGGCTTTGAGATATCATCCTCATCAACACTGCTTTTATATACCTTCTTCTCGGGTGCACCTTTTTCCGCTGGATCTAATTGCGGCGTTGTGAATATTTTGGTCATATCCTGAATTACTTCAAATTCAGAACCATTATCAGTATATTGTATGTTGTAAAACTTTCGCATCGATTATTCACATATGTTATCGATCAAAACAATTGAATAAAGATGAATGAAAGAGCGTCGCATAACACCTGAACCTTCCAGTGCTTTGTTAATATTAGCAATTCAAATATTCATACTGACTACTGAACTCCGTCACGTAATGTTTTCATTCAGTGAAACGCAATTTGAATCCAACTGATTACCGAAGTATAATAATCATTCCGTTCGCGAATAATTGATAACTCAGATCGGTTAGTCAGAACAATTAAGATCAACAGTTTACTGCAAACCGATTGAACAGTACGAAGGAGAAACGCTTGATTCACATAATATATATTGGTCCTTAGAAGGAATGCTCACAGCAGTTATTACCGAAAAATTAAAAATAATTTCGTCGATACAATTGGATAGAACATGATTATTTATTTTCTAAAATGGGAATGAAATTCAACAAACCAATTGAATATTGCCATTTCGAGGAGGACATTTAGGAAATAAAAGAGCGAAAGACCAGAACGTATTCTTTTCTCTCCGCTTCTCTTCACAAAACTGTCAAGTCAAATGATACAAACAGGTTGTTCATAAAATGAGAAAGAATGAAAACATCGTCAAAAGTTGATTACTTTTCAGATGATTATCATTTTATTTGTTCAGCTGCAATTAATCATTTTTTTTTATTTCCTTTAATGCATCTCGAAGTGAATAGATATTATAGTATGAATTCGTTTCACCATACGAAAATTGAATGAAGCAAAAACACTATTGCAGCAACGCTTCAAAACAGAGATTTCATAAGGTCATTATTATTTCAAGTTGCTTCATTTGAACATATTGTAGTGCTGAACTATTCATTGACTGACTGCTTCTTATCAGAGGCTGATTTTGAGAAATCTCTCGTCGGTTCCGAGAAGAACGACAAGTACCGAAAGGCATACGGGTGAACGACATGACATCACGAACTAACAACCAAAACTCGAAAGTCACAACGTCAACACTTTTCAAATCAAGTTCTGCGAATCACTCTCCTTCTCATGCAGTCGTTAAATACGCACGCAATACATCATATATTTATACAGTATCGCGCTCTGTTACTCACAACAAACGCAATTCTCAAATCAGACAATAGAACAAAAAATTTAATGTTTTCGATTAACTGACATAAAGTTGCTTTTTTCAACATCAAAGATTCTTCGTGCAGTTTTTTACCGGTCCATGCAGAAAGGACATATTCGAGCTCTAAACATAAAAATGGTTATTATTCGTCAGAGATCCATCATATCCGTCGTCGACTTCGATAATGCGGAGAGCGAGTGCACAAATCAAAAAGATCATTATTTCATTTCTGTATGACCTGCCTGCTCTATCGATAAATTCATCCATCTCAATGACATCTAACGACTATGAATAATTATTGAACGATTCAACTGCACTGATTATTTTCTACAAAGTAACCATTAATTGTTAAGAGCATCGCATAGATATTATCATCACCAATGTCGCATTAAATTTATCGCTCACCAATGTTTATAATCTAAAATTAAAATTTATTTTAAACGAATTGCCGAAACAAAAAACAGAAATATAAGTCAAAAACATATGAAAAACACTGATGAAAATCGATGAATCAAGAGCGATGTTGTCAAATAATTTATAACTTTGATTTGCAAATAAATCAAACCACAAAAAAATATATGTTCGGCCAATATGATTTTTTCGAGTGTGGTGACATTGAACTGTGTAGTGAATCTAGTTCAACGCATGAGGCAGTCAGTCACATACGGTTCACTGTTGTAAGGAAAAGATTGATGAAGAAATTCGTCAAGCTCTTGGAAAATTTGACATTCCTCTTTAAATCATTGCCATAAATATGTACGGAAAATGGTGATGGAACAGGATGATTAATATTGAAAGAGATCGCTCAGTCAAGGTATTTTGATCTTGTAGTGAGACCATCGCCGTTCGGCATATCTCATCGCTCGTGCTGCTGCAAAAGCGATCAGATGAAATTCATCTTTATCACAACACCCTTTTAGACATTCTGATAAGTCACGAGGAATTTATGAATGCGTGGGTGCGTCCATCTCCAACAGTGATCACAAAAAAGTGAATGCATCGTGAACAAATGCACGAAAGATTTACGATTAAATATGAATACAATTAAGGAATTAGCACTTAATAAATATTAATAAATGCTGAACATTGAGAAAAATAACGCTATCTTACGCTGCTGTTACATTAGTCATTATTTGAGGATTAGAATTCTCTCAGTTGATCTCACGTTCAGAGTGCTGATAATAATAGAATGATCGTCATGTGAGAAAATTATAACGAAGTTATTATTCGTTATGAAAGACGTTAACGAGTGTGAATACTTCACTGTTGCAATCATATGGCTAATGATTGGAAAAAACGAATAAGTTCTGAATAAGTGAAGTCGTCTATTGTAAATGCTTTAGAAATGACATTAAAAATCGGTATTTTCAATGATAAATAAAGTGAATATGGCAAATTGAATGTTGCTGAGAAAATATTTTTTGAAAATGATAATACCTACAACAATAATAATAATATCAATAATAATAACAAAAATAAATCAGAAATTCGCTTTTATTGGATAACAAATTGAAAAAAAGCAAAGATTGGCAGTCAGAAGGAACAGAGTTTTTTGAGAAGGGTAATTGAGGATGGAGTGAAGTGATTGGTAGAAGGGAAGTGAAGACGATGAGATCAAATGAAACGAAGGTTGATGAAGGTTTTAGAAGTTGTTTGGTTGGGTATTTACTGATTTAATTATCATTCAAGTTAATGCTCTCCTCTCTTTGATGAATGTTCTATAACATAAGGTGAATAATGTCTCAGTGCTGCTGTTTTGTGCTATATAAATGTGTTTATTGAAATGGTGGTGATGTTACTCAAAATGTGAATGGCTGACTCAAATGACAGTTGGTCGCATGCAACCGGTTCTGGTTCTTCAAAGTGCTCTGCTGCATCACTTCAATTATATATTAGGCAATAATCAGGAACTATTCAAATTTCACATTATTTTTACATTAATTTGTTGGTGAATTTTGAAAGATATTGGTATTTTGATTAGTGCTCACGTTCAGGCATAGATTTATTACATAACTTGTTGGATTTATTAATTATTGAGACAGCAACAACGTAATCTGCACTCAAAATTGATTCATTCACTCAAACAACCATCAGTGATAGTCATTGTTTTAAGAGTTGACGCAAAATAGAATATTTTTGGCGAATGAACGTTTTGATTGAATCAAAGTTTGGAAATATTTTTCATAGTATTCAAAGCGAGTGCACGATGCTTGCCTGATTCGATGATACAAGCAAATTAACAATAACCAACTTACTTGAAATTTACAAGTTTTGTATTCTAACGATAAGCGGCTGGCTGCATTAATATAACAAAAATACAATAAGTTAGGAGAAAATTTATTGAATAAGTTTGTATAATACTTGGTGAGTTTATGTTGTACAACGAGTGACAGACAACACTTCGAGATGTGCTGAAATAATATTTTAACGACATGAATGAATGATTTCTATCCTACAGAAAATGGGCACTCATATATTTGAACTTAAAATTGCCTCTGATTCATAGCCATAAAGTGATATTATTATAATGTGTCACACAAACAAAATGAATAAATTATTTCAGTTGTCTTCACTGCTGATCAGCAGATTCATCCTGAATTGCAATGCAATTAAATCGTTGAAGTTGACGACAACTTTCTTACGGTACCCCAAAATTTATTAACTGAATTGTGTCAGCCAGTGATCGCCCTGTGAAGGAATGTTTAAGAATAAATAGAATGTTTAATTGATGCTGAAATGAAATCATAATTGCAAAAATGAAACGGTTTCACAGCAAAATGCATCAAATAATTGTTGTTCTGTTGTAAATGATACAAATTTTCACTGCATAACATTCATCCATTAACTGATGAATGCTGTCATTCCTTTGTGCCATTCATTCCAAATGGTACACGTTAACTCATATTCAAATTCTCAGAATTCAGATGAAATCCAATCATTTTAATCAAGATTCCGTTGTTTTTTAAGATCTTATGAATTCATTCCGCAAAATATCGCGAAAAGATTTATCCGTCCACGTGTTCGATGCGGCAGCCATGAATATAAGTGATCACAAATTCAAATTCAATTATAATATAGGTCCTGATTCGATGTTCAACGCTAAAACTTTCCTATCGTCTTACCATATAAGTCTATTCATCTGGTGTAAACTGCTGATAACTTTGTTAGTACCTAACAAGGTAAATTGCTCAGTAAACTGGTACGGTACTAACAGCATCTACTAAACATGGTGATGCCGTCCAAATCATGGATTACTCGCTTAGAGATGATCATTTGCTAGAACATCCACCTTCAACATGGATGGCGCATACGCGACTGCCTTTCAAGGGTTCAAACGGGCAGTGATAGTCTCTGCACACTTGTAATCATTAGACATCTTCTAATTAGAGAACAACTCTTCAGAATATTCACAAACAGTGTCAGATTATTTGTGTATAGCTACTGGAAACATAAAAAAGATATTCACAAAATCGATGTCAGAATGAATCTTCAGTGAATGTTATTCGCCAAACTTGCATCAGAAATATATTCGCGAGCGATTTTTGTTCACATCCTGGCATTTACAGGACCAGTTATTGAATTCAACAACAACACTGTACTTAGCAATGCTACTAAAAACGCAACTTTCAATGGCTCTATGACTCTATTTCGTTTTCCACAACTCGTTAACAGGGAGTGGTTGGTGAATTTGAAGAAGAAAACTCATTCTAATAGACTCAGAATCAAATAGAAATTGTGGAAACGGTCAACGATCGGGATGGCGACACTCAGAATAAACAAAAATCGATTACATAACCTAGAAGTGATTCATTGGCGAATGATGACGACGAGATAGTATGGATGTTTATGATGGGATGAAGAGAGGTGTTTGTGATGAATATGAGGATATTGACCCAACTTTTTGATGACCCATTATTGACAGAGGATTGGTTCCATCAAATGCACCTCCTCAAAACCAATTCCACTGCATCGAACTAACTCTTTAATATGGTGTACATCCAATATGAGACTAGCATTTGATTGTGTCGATGTTAATGCGAATTCGTTAATAACCACATACCAAAATCCAAATCGAAAAGAGACGATGCAAAAGAAAGAGCATAAACGATGCACTGATTATCACAATAAAACTTACTCTGAAACTTGAACCAGTGATAATATGCCACTGAATGTTCTTCCCCAAACATTTTACGCAGCAAAAACCATGTTCAGCACGAAAATAGCCGTTTTCAAATTGTTCAACCGGAATGATTCTAATGGATTCGAAAAGTTTGAATCTAATGTTTTAATTTGCAGTGATTTGGTTCACATGATTTAGAATTTTATAAATGAATAAATCGATAAGGAACATTGGAGTTTGGAGTAAATAAATGATGAAATAAGTGAATGAATGAATGAAGTATTATGTAATGTGCATTATAATCGCTTGCATTATCCGTTTCGAAAGAAATGTCACCTCAACTAAGAAATGAAATGCCGTTTTCACGTAAAGAAAACTTGTTTTGCAGTAAGATGATGATGCAACACCCTCAATAAAGGGCATTCAGCCGCCATAGGTTCATTTCGAATGAACAAATACGATCAAAACTGTAACAGTGACATGTCTGGTTGTGAGATGATATAGACTGCTTGCTCAGAATTATCAAATTCATCCAGTTGATAATTTTGAGCAATTATCGAAGTTCGCTTCTTAACGATGCATCGTAATATCATAAGTTCGTTGCGCATCACGTCAATCGTCACAAGACAATGCACACTTCTTAACGATGCACATTTCGTCTCGTATCAATTGTCAAAAGATGAACCGAACAAAATCCAGTCGGATAATACCTTTCAAAAAAAAAAAAACACTCAGTTTTCTGCGTCTAATCGAAATCTTGGTGCTCTGTTGGTCGATTGGTCACTAATTGCGTTAATTCTTCGCAAACGACTGAGCAACAAACCGCTCACCGATGTATGACACCTTACCCACGAGTTCCTGTCTGGCAACAACGAAAATAGTGGAACAAGATTTTCGAATGAATTACACCAAACATATCAAATCTTCTTCTTTCTTAAAATAACTATCAAATTTCCTTAAGACCAATGCAATTACATAATTACCCTCTCGTTCGATTCAACCCTTCTTATGCTTTGCCCCTAACTGCCACAAATTCTAATCGCTCAGTTTCCGCTGATTGGTGATGCAGTTCACTCGATGCTTTGCCAAACAAAACTACCTCCTTAAAAAGCGAATAATCAATCACCTCCAACTTCTTTTTCCATCACCTCATCGAACTATCCATAAGTATCGCTGGTCTATATCCAGTTTTTCTAGCTACTTCATTCAGCAATAACACTTATGACCGACCGCCCCATCAGTTCAACTGAATTCTTACATATCAAATGTCATCAACAACCAATAAAAACTCGATAAATACTTTATTAACCGAAATATTTAAGTGATGAACAACAAAATTATGTGCGGATGGAGAAAGAAACTGAACCGACCGAAATGAACCCAACCAAACATTAGAAATAAACAAACAAACACAACACAATAAAACAAAGATTAGATACAACCCAAAAACAGCAACTGATAAACAACGTCATTTAGAGATAAAACAACCAATTCGAGATTAACCCATGAAAAAGACATGTATCCATTCCAACTCAATACCTAGAACTCCTCCTCCATATAACCTCTTCTACGATCACCATAAAAAGAAGAACAATTTCAAAACGAAACATTGTATTCTCGTCAATTGTTTGCTAACATCTCCACATCAAACAATCAGTATATCGAATCAACGCTTATTTAAACGGCACCAAACGGCAAATGAAGAATTACTTCGGGTATACAGAACGCGAACGCATTCATTCTATCGCGTAAAGTCAAAGTATTTTGTACGAAACGAAAAGCCGTCGACTGTCACCAATCCACAACTGCTTCACTCACGCTCATTCACTCCTCAATCGAACAAACTCAAACAAACAAGAACTGAACTAAAAAGATTAAGAACAAATAAATAAATAAATAAGATCACCACCACACACATCTACCAAACAAATATCGACCGTTCACCACCTCAATGGATAGGGCCATGAAAAATGCTCGCTCGATTCAATCGCTGATTCGTCGCTCACTTTCGACGCCAGTTCTTATCTTCATCAGCCGATTTATGCTGCTGCTGTTGTTGTTGCTGCGGCTGTGGATAATGTGCTTCACGTCTTGGTGGACCACGGCCTATAAGATATCCTAGTAAATATGTATAATCATTTCACTGAATCACCTTCTTACTACATTGAACAAAGCTCACGCCCTACGATTACCTATCTATGACAAAAGTTTTGAGTAAATTTTCATCTGGATATACTAAAGTAATGACTGACCATTTAATAACAAAACCAGCATCCACTTGAAATGCAACTGCTGATAATACGATCCATATGGAAGATTCACATCCAAACAAAAAGCTTACAACACATCAACCAAACACTTAAGCGAAAGACGCCAAACTGTACCGTGTGAAGGAATGCCAGAACCATCGGCAGCTCGTGGCGTAACCGTTGTCCATTTGCCGTCAGTATCGTCCGAAGGTGGTGCTGCCTGTTGTGCAGTTGGTGGTGCGGCACGCCCGGCTGCGCCATCTCCAGAACGTATCTGGGCTTGAGCTGCTGCCGCTTCCATCTGTCGTCTTGGACGCCACGGTTGACTGGACGGAGCAGCGGCTGCAAAACAGAAACGGTATATGCATTCATATGCCTGTATTGGCCAGGCTCTCATCGAACTGAAGTTTGTAACCAAAGTTGCAGCTGGCCACAATGCTCGCGCAATCTTTTCGTTCCAACTGTCTTAACCTTAATTTTATCCACTCCACTGGCTAGGCGAACAACCCATACGCATCGATATAATCAGTGTGATATTGAATAGCACCTTGATGACCACAAGCACGAGAGCATCACACGTGTATGGATGGAAAATAGAGCCGACTTACGCTGTGCAGCAGCAGAAACCTGCTGCGCCTCTCCGCCATCGCCAGTCGTACGCGTAACGACTTGTCCACGTCTCCAGCTACCCGTATCGGCTGGTGACGGTGCACTTGGTCTGCTTGTCATCTCATGCGTTGCTGGCGCACCCAAAGGCTCTCCACGACGTTCTCCCATTCCAGGACGAGCCTTAAAAACGCATACGAACATTATTATGCTTCAAGCCTTTCGTAAACACCTGCATCTCACCGCAAAGCAATCCACCAATAATTCAACGAATCACACCAAAAGATCCAACTAACAAGATTGTTCCACGTTTAGAACGAAACGACCAAATGTAATAATAGAAAAGATGATAATCACACGAGATGATGAAACAATCAAGTTGCGCTCATAATATTCGATGGCTCACCATTCCTTGCGGCGGTTCTCTGTGCGTAACGACCTGTCCACGTCTCCAATGGGCCACCTTATCAGCTTCGCTCGTCGGTTGTGGTGGCGGTGCCTCTCTTGGCTCACGTTCGAAGTGTCTTTGCGGCACATTCTCTCTTTCAATGTGTGCTGCGGGTGGTGGACCCGCGCTACCCACAGTGACCACCTGACCGCGCCTCCACACACCCATATCTGCCTCTGAGGGCGGCTGAAACTGATCGATGTTGAATGCGATCAACTACTTAAAATACTGATTGTGAGGAGATATTCACTGATATACACCTAGTGTTAACAATAACAATAAGAGACAACAACAACTTCAAACAAATACCGGAGGCATTGCTCGTTCACGTTGTCTTTCACCCTCCATCATACGCTCAGCCATCGGAGGCCTTGGCGCCATCGCAGGAGGCTGACGAGGTGCCGTCGGTTGCGCTCCACGTCTCCAATCGCTGTCCGTATCCGCAACACTCTCCACTTGTTCCCTTCTCGGCTGTCGACCTGCTTCACGTATTGCACGTCTCTCCTTCTCCATCTCTTCTCTACGTGCCTGTTCGGCCACTTCTTTGGCACGTGCAAGTTGACGTTCACGTTCCTGAATCGTTAATCATTTAAGTTGTTATAGATGCGTGAATCCTTACATCACAAAACAGCTACTGTAAACTACTGTAAACTGAAAATGTTGAAAATGAATTCAATGTATTTTCAATTGTGTATGGATAAAATTGACAGTCAGAATCGTCAATGAATGAATACCACCACAACGAGCTAATAATGAACACACAAACAGATAACGTACCGCTTGCCACTCCTTTCTTCTCGCTTCTTTCCGCATTTCGTGTCGTGCCGCGAGACGCTTCTTCCTCTCCTCGCTTAATTTCTCCTCCCAATTGGCCACCTTCTTCGCGAAATCTTCTTTATGTGCTTCTTTCACCCGGTCAAGGAATGCATTCGCATCGGGCCGTACCAACTGCATGCGTTCGTAAGTGGCCACTGCACGTTCGTGTTCAAAACTGAAGCAGTTATTTCATTTCTTAACACCATCAATTTTCGTTGCAAGATTATTTTCAGTGTCCACTTTCATCGATCTATTTCACTGACTGATTGACATGCACTCAGAACATGTCAACGTCAGTGTCAACGAATAATACTGCTAGCAATTGATGCATATGTAGTCGTTATTATGACCCTTTCACAGTGGAAATCTATCTGCAAAAGTGTCCAGTAGAACGACGTCAATAATTTTCCCTGCACTTACAACACACACCACTTGGAACTCGTGGCACGTGCTGTCAAATTGCAGGAGTACGCAACTCAAAGACAACTATTAATCTAATAACAACAATCCTTACATGGCATTCTCAATTCTCTTCTTCTCGTACTCTTCGTGCAGCTGAGGTGCGGTTCGTCTGTACTCATCCGTGATCGCCTTCCTCGCCTTCATCTCCTCCAGATGGAACGCACGCACCAAATGATCGAATTTCTTCTCCTGTTGTTGAAGTCTTGCTTGCTGCTCGCGGCGTTGCTCATCCATACGATCGCGTTGCTCGCGTAACACTAAAAAAAAATACTGCTCACATTTCACCACTCACATCAACATACTTCAGTGGATTGGTCGGTCACCAACTCGATTTTATAACCACATTTTTGATTGATTGATAATGCGAATTCAAATTCTCAATTCAGTAGCACTTATGTGTTCTGTTCAGTTCATTCACCTGAATCTGGATCCATATTTTGGAAAGCTTCTTCGCCATGATCTTTCACAATCGCTTGATATATTGGTGTCGCTTGAATCTTTTTCATTTTCTCGGCACGAACTTTCCTCTCGATTTCTTCCTGCAAGCAAACATGATAATCGACAATACAAATAAAGCGAATCATCACGCAAAGTGATGCCGATTTCGTAATGGTGATGATTATTCAAAATTATCATATATGATACGAATAAATAATAAAAATTCCAATTACCTGCTCAGCGAGTTTACGCATCTTCTCTTTCTCGATATTCTCCAATTCGAGTCGTCGCATTTCCTCAGCCCTCTTCAGCTCTTCCCTACGATTCGCTTCGGCCTGTGCCTGCTGTGTCTTCTCAAGCTTCAGCCGTTCGCTCGTCTCCTTGTAGCTTTCAATTTTCTTGCGTCGCAGCAATATGCGTTCATAATCAGCGTTCTTGTGATACGCATAGATTTCTGTATGCCGTTTCAACTGAAAAATCACTTCTGAGCTATTACTTCATCCAATTTGCGATGAAATTATCTGCATCACGGCTATCTTTCATGGCGATGTGCTACGAGAATGACTGAGATGCAGGTTATCTTCATTGATGATTATACAGCAATCATTAATATCACTTCATCTGAACACCACACTGCCTGACATCACCAACACTTCAGAAGAATGGGCAAAGCACCACTTACATGGTCAAGAGCGGCCTTCTTACGTTGCTCTGCATCCAAAACATTCACCACATCTCTGAGGCCGTTGTACATCAATTCCAGATGACTACGAATGCCTTCCATCCCAGTCTGAAAGAGCGAGTATAATACATGAAATCTTCAACAACTGCTAACCAAATTTATATACAAATCAATTTCATAACTTATTAAAAGAATCTAACAAAAATGTGCATTCGTTTAGTCTGGGAAGGAAGGGAGGCACGGCATGCATCAAGACTCAGTAGCGAAGTGTGCAAATGTTTGCAGTCACAAACAACTCATTCTGCATAAGCCAGCTACAAACCTGATTCGAATCCCCGTTGAACGTATTTGACAATTCGTTATCAAGCGCGCCCTCCAACGTTGCATCCACATCACCGAAATGAATACACCGTTCACGATGACTGATCTGTGCCTATAAGTAGCTGACTGACATTTTGAATAATCGATTGCTCAAAACATTCGTGCGTACACTCGCGCTATGAGAACTGCTTTCATGACCAAGCAGACAACCATCTACAAGAGGAACAAACAGTTCCTATCGAAACGACCAATCAATATCTTGATTTCCCTCACCTCGGCACACAACCAAACACAAATAACAGTCACCAACCCTCCAAAGTTATCACACCTTCTATTATTCAAAAAAGACTTCAGAGCGTATCACATATGATCTGTCAACTTCTATTATACACCACTTCTTTCATTGACGGTGAACGCTCTTCTAACAAGCCAAGCATACAGTCTGTATTCGATGAAATCATGAACAAAACATTCCATAAACAAGTAAATAAGTGTGCTGATGAGTCAAAGGGTCAATTCGTCGAACGAATGATTGAACGAATCAACCAAACCCATTCATCAAATGAATCTTATTTAGCACCCTTTAACGGCGTTCCATTTCACTGCGAGCAGATATGGAACGGGACGAATGGTGCATTCAACTGTGAACACATCAATACATGATCATAAAAACGAATCATGTACATTCACCTTTAAATGCAATTTAACAGTCAACTCGAAATGTTGTTTGTTCACTTACCTCACAACTTTTAAAATTAAACATTTTATTAGTCATTTAATTGATAGCATTCCCCACGCAATCATTCACTTGATGAAAAAGGATGAACAATCTAACAAAAGCAAATAAAAGAACACATACCTTAACGTATCGATGTTTTGCAATATCTACCAGAAAACGTTCCAATTCGATGTCGCTATAGAATGGTAACACTTTGAGAAGTCTTTCCATCGATAACGTGTCATATATCAGTGATAGTTGTTTGATAATTTTGGTGGCTGTCACGCCTTTTAGCGCATCCACATACTGTTCATAGTCCGGCTTATTCAACGCCTTTATTTTGTTCAGTTCACAATCAACACTCTTCGCAAGACGCAGTGGTGTGAACTTGCATTCAAGCTGGCTGCAATATTCGTTAAAAAATTGTAATGCTATAAATATATCCACTCATCAGTTTTGCTCAATAAGCCAGCTGATGTGACTGTGTAATCGATCGGTGAGGCATTGATCGCTACAATATACAAACAGTCATCATCCGTTCAACTAACATCTCAAATTACAACTTTTTCAGTTGCTGGAACGATTAAAATAACAAGAACCGATCGATCACTCACATGTACACGTTCCTGGCACTCTCAACAGCAATTTCAGGTATATTCAACCGTCCAATTTCCTTCAAGATTCCCGCACGAGACGGTGCGATCGGCAAACGTAACAGATTCGATAAGAGTCTGAAAAAATGAAGCGCTACATTTAAACTTCGCGAACAATTTTGCTCACTGAAACAACGGCAATAAACAAAACATCTTCCAGGCAGTGAAACGGAAGAAATTGTTCGAAAATTTCAAACGTATGAAGTGCTAACTTCCAATGCCCAAAGGACTGCTACTTTCATGAATGCTGTGCTCGCATGTGATGATTAGAAAATGCGAACGCAACAACGTTTCGAAAATTGCTCGCAATTAGTTTCATAAAAGAAATGTGCGTAAATTTGCTGACGAAATCTATTCGATATAATCTATTCGAACAGAAGTTTTATACAAATTACAAATAATATTGCATGCAAGCATATCACTACGAATTGTTCACAGTCGTAATGAATTAAAAACATGCGTTCGCAGTCTTCAACATAACGACCATCATTAAATCAGTTGAAAAATCTACGAAAACTTCACAGACTAAACACACTGAACCATGTACCTAATGTTCGCGATGTGCTGCTCCTCGATGTCTAAATGTCGAGTCAAGTCCGATGGCTTATCAGCCCCATCCGGAATTGATAACGTGGCCAGCAAGACACGAGTGGCCTGATCAGTGGCCTCTTCGGAGCTGAACGTTTTTTTCATATCTTTATAGATGATGAACTTTTGCAGAAGAGCGGCTGCGTGGAACAAACGATTACCAGCCTTCCAGAACACTAATGCCAACTAAAAAAAATGTTGTACTTGCATAATTGAACAAATCCATCGACAGCATCAACAATGTGAATCAACGCAGCTAGAACGTTTGCAACGAACGAATCATATCTTTAGAATTCATTTTAAATGAAAACACTTATTGCTCTCAAGATGAGAAAACATTTTTGAGTGTGTGATCACGTGTTAACGGCAATCATCGCATTCAGATGGAAGAGCCATTTCGGTTGTGATCACTACGATATTGCATGTATAAAGGATCATTCCAATTCGTACAACCATGGAACGAAACGAGAACATGCTGTCGTAACTGAGCCCTTTTTGAATATCTCTTGAACTGAGGTATTCTTTTGTTTAACTCATTAATGAAATGAAATTTTTGTCGAAGATTTTGGACCGACGCGGAATCGAACTCACGCCCTCTAAACAGATCGCATCTTCAAAGCCCAGCGTCACACCAGTACACTATCCACTCTTTGCTCGATCTGTCTTATTTGATTTAAGTACTATCTATCATTATATGGTAGCTTTTCGCGCTAGTCTCGACAAATGCGTCACGTTATCAATAACTCACAACAAACAATCACAATAAGTAAATCGAACCTTATCAAAATAGTTCACATAACTAGCCGGTTTCACCATTCGTTTATCTTTATCCTTGCTTAACTGCATCATTCCATGAACATCTTCCGCACTGCGGTATGCCTCTTGCCATAATTCCATTTGAATGGCAGTATTCAGTTGAATGAGTCGAGTGTCCTGCATCAGTGTTAACGACTCGGCGCTTGTCAACTTTACTCTGAAACCAGAAATAGATTATTCTCATTAAAATAGATTATTTATTCTGCACAGCACAAATGGATCATAACGGCAGATTATTATTCCAAATTAGGTATCAGTCTGCATGTACGATTACATGTTAACGAGAAGCATCTTAATTGGATGTAACCATTTCGGTTGTAATCGTAAATTGATATTGCATGTATAAAGGATCATTTCCAAGTGGACCATCAATGAAATGAAACGAGAACATGCGTGCACTACTTACTTACTCACAAACACAGTAGCACGGCTCAGTAAACACTTCAATGTAACATTAATATCCATTAACCGTTCAAAAAAAAAACTCGGCTTCTTCGAAAAAGAAAACACATCCTTCAAAGTTGAATCAATCAGAAAATCCAGAAATGAGATCCACTAACACATGAGCAAGATGTTGCTGCTTCTGGATTTGACTTAGATGCATCCGAAGGTGATCACATAGCTTGCGGAATTCCGTACGTCGTTGATATTTGGCACAGAATTCGAACGATTGACGTGCAATACTATGGTAGAGTTGCTCAACCTAACAACGGATTCCATGAACGAATAAATAAAGGTTGTATGCAAAAAAATCACATCAATATCGATACCGATGAAACACGGACACTCACCGACATTATAGAGTTTGCATTGTCTTTTTTACAAATAAAAAAAGATGTTCTGTAAAAATTTGTGTAATGCACATACCACCGCATTGTTACGCAAAAGGTCAAGACAGTTGCGGTAGGAATCCCAAAGAAAACGTAGCCATGGACTGAGCACCGTTCGATCCATACGGTCTTGTGCCGCAGCACCAGACACTGCCGACAGAAGTAAGCTGCAAAACAACATCCATTGAATGAATGCTTCAACACTCTTTTCACAGTGCAATAACTCAAGGGCAAAACCGTTTAATGCAACACCTTATATCATATCCTTTATGTGTATATACACTTCACATTCTGGATAATCTTTGAAAAGTAGAAACGATGCACTCACTTCTCTGGTGCATCCGCTTGATCCAGATCATCAATTTCCTCAACCTTCTCAATCGATGTTTTCTGTGCTTCTTCAGTTTTTTCTTTTGCCAAATCAAGAAACCTAAGGATAACGGTTTCCAAAGATTTCACCGCAATCTGCAAAAATTTATTTTAGTGCTTGATCCATCATCGCTTGTTAAAATTCTACACAAAATAAGTGACCATCGTGTTTAATGGATCAAGTGGATAATAGTTGATCAGAGAGAGTGTGCTTTGGCTTTCTACATTCTGATCGACTGTTCCTGCGAAGAAGAGTTTGTTGAGCAGTGCATGACTGCACAGAATCGATCAGAACCAAACAGTACACGTGAATTCAACTCGATCGACTATATCCGTTGGTATAAAACGGCAATATCCATTCAACTGATAATTCGGAGAATTGAAACGATCCGCTGAGAACAGATCCATGCACTAGTGGATGAATGTACCTGTTGTGTTAGTGTCTTGTATTGGAAAAGTGCATCTTTGGCCATATGCGGACGTCGTAATGAAACGCACAATTCGACATGCTTGAGCATGATCAGTTCGTGGGTTTTCGTCCATTGCTTATGACGTTTCGACTAAAATTTTCTTATTATTTCTAGTTTATAGCAATCAATGACTTCTTTCTCCTCAGAAGTCTCATCTAAACATAACTGGAATCCTGCAATTAAGTTTTTCATTCCTCTCGAAACCAGCCTATCTCTATAGTCATGACAAAGGCTGCTTCAAACTACTGATTATCAATGTCGATGAGCTGTGGTACTGACTGCAAAAATCACCTTAATCGTATCATGGAGTGTTTCGAGAGCATCCAGTTCTTTACCAACCGAAATCAGTTCCTGTGCTCTTTTCAGAGCTGTTTCTGGTTTTTGAAAGAAATTCGGTGGCATATTTTTGGAGGTGTTCGATTCAGCTTAACTTCAACAAGAAAGCTCTTCGCCACTCTGTAAGAAGCAATTAGTCAATGGCTAATTGGTTGCAAAAATAATCAAACGAAATGAACCTGGCGTGGGATATAAGACATGTTTTGTTAAAAATACATGCAAACGATTGAATGAAATTATTTCCTCACTAATAATGAAAGCAAACATCCAAGAGCCTGGGTGGGCCTCACACGGAAACAGTAAATTCACACGCAAATAACCAATCTTAGCACACAACAACACAGCGAATGAACGGTAATTTTTAGAGAGTAGGCGAAGGCCAAAAAAAATTGCGAATAAATATGCAACTTTATGGATTCATGAATTTCAGAAAGCTGAACAATTGGAGAGGTCGAAATTGCATATTCCTCATTTATTAGTACACGTTATATAATGTCGAACTGCAAATTTCTTCGCGATGACAAAAATAATTTCTGTTGTGCGAGCACGCTGAGAAAAACCAAAGGGAAACGAGGAATTCCAGACACACGTAACAGCAGTTGCATATTCGCTCGCGTATGGCTCACGTCTGGATCTCACATATTCGTTTCTGAGTTATAGCACCAACACCCCTTCAGATTCACGCACAACCCAGCTAATGCCACGGTCGGCTTTCGCTGGAAGCTCGCTCGCCTTCCTAAAACCCCCCGGGCTGTGCAAGCTACATTATGATCTTCATCACTAACATCAACGTTATTGCGTGTTCAAGCTGATATCATTCAAAAAGTGACATAAATATACAAAACCCAATATGTTCTCTCGAATTAGCAGCATATTTTCGCTTGCTCGTCGTATCTAACATATAATATTTATAGTCGATAAGCAGAAGTCGTATTGAAATTCTACTGTATGTTTTTGAAAATGAATTTTGAACCGATTACAGCGCTTGATTTTATTTGTGATCGCTTTGCTATGAGGCAATAGCATATTGTTACTGATTGTTGAGGAAGTCAGTGAATCTTACGGCAATGCACCAAAATCGTGAACGTTAAATGAGCCTAAAAATGATTTTTGTTTAGTGGCATCTTCTGGATTTCCTTCTATATAGAAGGTCGTAAACAGTTGTTGCGCATTTTTCAGCTCAACCACAATTGCTGGCATGGTTCGTGGACTTTCCTGAAAATTTGACTGAAATGGTTTTCGGGAAGAGGTGTTGCAGAACTGTGGAATTTTTGGTGCAAAATTCCTCAAAAATCTTTTTTTGCAAAATTTGTAGGAACAAAATTCCTCTTATGAACTCTTTCTTCTGTGTTGTCTAGTCCACTGTTGATTAGATGATAACATCACCGATAGAATACAATTGAAGACACCACACTGAATGTGAACTCTAACATCAATTGCTCTGCTTGTGTATACTGGGAACTTATATACTGATCAAAAATGTACAGATCAAATTGCAAGCAACCATAGAGGTTATCATCATTCGATCACTACAGATCATTGCGTTTTGATCCTTGAACAACAAATATGACTCGCTTCAAGATGAGCGTAATCAAATCCCGAAATCCCAGGATTTTCCAAAACATAAATCCCGGGATCGGGATCATCAATCCGATCTCAAGATCTCGGGATCTCGTGCAAACCATAGGCGCAAGTGAAATAAAGGTTGAGAACCGCAGGTGTATTCGATATAATACCCATGGGTTACTTAAAAAGGATAATATACAAATTGATATAGTCTTAAAAAGGATAATATACAAATTCTTACATATATAGTCTCATTCAATCAAATGATCAGATAAAAACAGTTGCATGCACGATTTTGTTTGCTGTGATGAAGCTTGAAGCAGAAAGCACGAATACGCAACAGTTTTTTATTGCTTTCAAAATGAGCAAATGAGAATTTCCTCGGGAGATATCATTAGTTCACTTCAGCTTCGTATCAATGATCTCTTACTGATGTCAGTAGCCCGTCTCCGTGTTCCCGAAGGCATGAATTGTTCACACTAAGGCAATTAATTAGCGCTCTGAAAAGCAATACGGTAGAAGTGGAGTTTCGTTAAATTGTAATTGGTAATTGATTATGTCATGACTGTCGGAACTTCACGGACGACATTTGCATGAGAAAAAAACACAGAACTGTTCAGAATCACGACTAAAAAACTCATTCAACCATCGTGTTATTAACGGACATCGGAGAAGTTTCTACAGTTGAGATTAATTCTAAAACCAGTTTAAGGTATTTTTCACAATGCTTATTCATTACCTGTACATTTTCACATTTCTGCTAGTGAAAAGTAATGCTTTCGAGTTCTTCTGGCATTTCGAATCCCATACGTTCTTCCATCACACTGGTTTATATGAGTGAAACAGATCGATTAATTTTGTGCTCATTTATGTTATGAGATGTTTTTTCGGCTCATTTGGGGTGCTTAAATGAGCTGAAAGATTCTTCGAGTCGGCTCAATCGTAAACAGACCTTGGTTGTGGACGATTCCGTTTTGAGTTGTTATCAACTCCAACGAAGAATCAGTCGTACGAGACGGCAATTCATCGCATGAGAAATCTGCGTGCAAAAAATATTACCAACAAACAGTAGTGTAGACTGTGAAGACCTAAGTGATCGATTGCATAAGACGAAAATAATCAACCCTGAAAATGTTGGACAACATCTCAGTATCGGTCATCACTTCAGACTAGTGTTCGTCGGGGAACGGGGTCCCCGTCGGGGACCCCGGCGGGGAACGCGGGGAGCGCTCCCCCCCGCGCAATTTGCTCCCCGACTTTTTTGCGGGGACCCCCCTCGTCCAATTTACTCCCCGCGGGGACCCCCCCCGTGCAAAATTACTTCAGACTCTAGCGATACGAAAGATAGTTTTTTAAGATTGAGTTAAATAATATTCCGCGAAGTGTTTCCTTTCCTTCAATGTATTCCTTCAATGTACACCCAGTGTATTCCTTCAATCTTCAGTTCGAATTCGTTGGCTTTTCAGCATATGAAAAATCTTCACATAACCATCTACTCCTACGAACAATTTACTAGGAGGTAACAATAGCGGCAGAGGGATTAGTCATGCTATGAAGATTAATAAATCGCACGCATGCATGTTAAGTGGCTCAACGGTTTGATTTAACTTTAATTTGTTTTGTTCTTCGGCATTGTCGATGATATCAACGACATTAATGTCAGTTGCATTTATAATATTAATGCTAATCTGATAGTATTCATACTGAAAACATTATCATGGCTATTATCCTCATCACAAGCCATTATCATGGCTTTGAACAATCTAACATCCCATCCATATTTCTGTAGTCTACGCACATGATTTGCCAACCTTTTTCCTGTTGCATACAAAAGCTGAATGGCATCATTATCATCCATTAGATTTGTTTATCACTCGCCATTCAAAGAGTATGTCAAAGATGGGTCGAATCAATGATCACTCTCGAGCATCACCCTTCACCTATGCTGCTGCTCTTACATTTTAGTCTTGCTTGACAACGGCTCATTGAATCAATCCTTCAACTTCGTATAAGAATTAAATGGAATGGAAGAAGTGAATGTTAGACGATCAGCATTTGTATATCTGAATTCTGATTCGAACGTCAAATTTACTAATTTAAAAAAAATCACTGTGCACCGTTGAAATAGTATATTGTGAAAGTTTTCATATAACACAGCTGGAATTTTTATTCATTTCGAGAAATGCCGAGTTCATTGTTGCAACACTGAACCAGTCGCATCAAACTTATCAGCATTCAATCCGCTTCTATATTATCGTTCTCATCTCTTCATTTAAACAGATGTAACACAGCAGATACTGCATTACGTTACATCAGTCTATTTCAATACGTTTCTAGTCCTTCAATCTTCACAACAGATTCTCTCGGCTCTGTAGCGACCCCTTCCTTCTACTCCCCTCCCCCCCCCCCCCCCCCCCTCAATCAATTTATAGATTTCTTCGTTATCGTATTCCAATATCAGTGTACAATTTTTGTGTCTCAAAACTTGGCTTTTTAACGACCTACTGAAAGCTACTTCATATCAAATTATTTCGAAAGCGTTCTCATTGAATCATATTAGTTTCTTCATTTTTGATCTCCTCCACATTTCTTAGTAAAGCAACTCGTTGGGTGGGAGGACGCTTAATAAAGAGCGAAATCTGCGATAAGCTGCTATCCACTGCGATACCTTTCTTGTGTTATGTTTCGTTGGCCTTTCTTTTGGCGAACACCTTCCTTTTTCTTTCTGTGGATTACTTTGTGTACATTTTTTTCTCAAAAAACGTATGCAAAGGTTTTAAGAGATTTGTACCGAAAAAGTGCAAAAATTTTCTGCAGATCTAATGACCATTAACGATTCACAATCAAATTTTAATTCAGCGCAATTCAAACGTGAAATAGTTACGTCCAAACTCATTCGATTTAATGAGACTATCGACTAGGCAAACGCAATTTTATTCCATAAAAAATGTCTTCTTCGTCACCTCGGAGGCCATTCTGTCCGATAGTTGTCCGCTTCCAAGCATCCTTAATGAAATACATTTAGAAGTATAAGTAGATTAATTCATTGTGCCTGTTTCTGATAAAGAATAATTTTTAACTGCACACTCATTGGCTGTAATAAGAGGCTTGTGATTAACGATAAATGAATCTTTCAAGTCGGATTTACAGATGTTCTGTTGAGATATGATATTCATTCACTGGAATTGTCATTTTAATGTGTATTCAATTGGCACTATAATCTGCTTGTGTAGTCATTGTTCATGCAATTCAAGTGCATGTGTGCGCACTGTGCAGGTGAATTTGTTTCAGTTTGTTAACTGAATATATTTGAGGTTTTCAAAGAATCATAAGACTGAATCAAAGTAGTTGGGCATTCGACAAGTAATGCTTCTTGCGCAATTTTCCATCTACGTTATCGAAGGGACCGTATTAGCACTATGTGGTGCATTATTTCTGTTCGCGGTATTCAGAAACCAAAAACTTCGTCGACGTTACGATATTTTAATTGCACAGGTTTGGTTTTATTGAAGTGAGAAATCAATGCTGCTCTGTTGAAATCATATCTGGTGATAATCATCATCTGTACTTGGTGATGTCAATGCGAATTAGTTTCAAGTTATGATAAGAAAGTAAATATTCCAATCCAGTCAGCTTACCCCCAAATAACCGCTACTTTCAGTTTTTCACCAACGTAATCTGCGGTCTTGCCACTCTGACGGCCGGCGTTGGACGCCTCACAGTGCTGTTCAGCGAGATCAAAACACTCAGGAGTCGTCAACAATGCATGCTGATGCCATGGAATATTCTATTTTTGTGGTAAATTGATTTGTTGTTGAGAGTTCGTGAGAATATCCTATCAGTTTGTTATTGAGAGGGCGTGAGAAATTTGTTATTGAGAGTTATTGTGAGAATCGGGAGTTTGAATGCCAACGGAATGAAAATTTTCGAGACGCTGATTAAAAGTTCCATTCGAAAGGAGCACAAGTAGCAAAATCTATTTTTTAGAAGTAATTCTTGAAATTATTGATCATTTGATTTCCATAGATGCTCTTAATGATAGGTGAAATTCGTTGAAGATATCGATTACATTACTGCAACCTCCGATTTGACAGCAAGCCGTACATACGCTCAATGAGGTACTGATGACACTGAATGGAACTCGTTTCCAATAGTAAAGAAAGCATCAATGAGATAGCTGAATCTGCGTCAATATTTATCACAGCATTCCACTCTAATGCTTGTCACCATACTTCCTTCATTCAGATTCACATTTGAATTTTAAGGGCCGATCCGATGTCAGCCATCGTCGTACTCATCACGAGTATCGATCGCCTGTGTGCACTCATGTTACCGATATTTTATTACAAGAATCCACGACGCTTTGCGCTCTCTTTGGTAATTACTATCCTATCACTAATCCAAACCATCCATGTTAATTCGGCCGTTCAAATTACCGTTCGAGTGTTTTGATTTCCTAAAAAGTTGAATTGTCACTGAACGTCAACTTGAAGAAACTTTCAGCTGCACATTCAGTTGAGTGTGCAGTGGAGGTTTATTCATAAACCTAATCATTTTCACACCACACAATGAATAAGTGCTATTAACGGAAGTGCCTTAAACACCGTGAATGATGATGCTCTCTATCAAATTGCTCACGAAATTTTTGGGTTGAGCCGAAAAATTCATCTGAAGCAATAATTAATGCTCGGATTCTGAGCATTAACTGCGAATTACTTTCAACACCAGCATTTTTCGCATCGAATTGTGTCATTAACATGCCATTGTTGATGCTTATTATCTTTTTATTCCAAGGACAATTTTCAGTTACATACCTTGCGTGCATGATTCTCAGATGATTAGGTCTGAAAGAATTTCTCTTCGTCTCAGAAATCACCCCAAATCAACATTTCAAACAAAAAAGTTCTTAGTGAAACGTTGAAAGTGACTGCGTTGACAGATGAATTGTTGTTAAATTTACTTCTGCAGATTGGTTTCTCGCATGGATTCATGATTTTGTGCATGATTTTTGATTGGTCAACAACAGTGGGTGATACCGAAGAATTGTATTCACCATTATGTTGGTTCGTTGTTGAATTCATTCGATGTCATCTTTTACTAACACTCACTTCAAATCTTGATCATACTGCGTTCTTAAGGTACATCCCTAATACGTTGAACTTAAGGCAGTGCTACAGTAAACAGATAACTTTTCACTACATCAGTTAATCATAATATAACTGATGTGAGTACAATAACCGTCTTTGATAATTATTTGCTGTTTTCAACGATAATGACATTACTATTTGATCAGAATAAATCTCCTGCATTTCGATCATTCATTTGGCTTAACTGTCCCTACTGACAGTAAGAAGACGTATCGTATTCAAGATTCATGTCTGCACATAACACACTCAGCTCAGATAGGCATGAATCAAACTAATTTCACTTGACGGCTCCATTTACAATTAGCATATCATCATTTATTTATTCATTTCTTGAATCAGCAAAAATAAGTCATTAAGAGTTCACGTCTCACTGTTATCACCAATATCACAGATTGCATATTCTTTGGACGCCGACCTCCTTCTTTTCATGAAGCGAACTATAATATCGTAATGAATTATCTAGAAGTCTTAAACAGCAATAACATATTACACGATGACACATACATAACACTAGATACAAGAACTCTATAATGGAACGCAATGTTGCATTATATTCGCGAACTTTCTACCACACCTAATATGAATGATATACCACATATAACATCTACCAATAACTGCAATTCGATCATACCTATAATGTCGAAATCAAAATAATGATATTCGTGTCCAAGTGATGATGATATTACTGATGCTGACAATAATATCTACTACCAACTGTTCTGATAGAAATAACAATGAGTTTATAATAATTAAACACAACTGCGCATCATTGGGGACTCACTCCGCTTTATGGGTTTCAAATTGAGGCCTAAAATTAATCAGATGAAAATGATGCGATGAATGATCCTTCTTATAGATTGCAAAAGTTACTGCAGTGAGTAGAACTAGGCGAGAAATCAGCGATTTGATTAGAATTATGATCAAAAAACAGCGTTTGAGATAATATCATCAAGACAAAGCATTGTTCTATCATTCAAAACAATAAGTTGCCAGCTTCTTCGATTGCATATGCCAACAAACACGACTGAAGTCACGCGATCCTCAGTAATCGGTCCGTATCTCTTTTCTTCTTAAACCAGAAATGTAATGATTGCGATTAATCTATTACCCTCCACATCTGACAAACAACACGCAACTTTCGCTCATATATTTACTGATCCATAATTAACTGAAACTGTGTCAAATAGTCAAGTAACCACACGAATGATTTTGTTGAGAATCCATATTAATGAAGGTACACATGAGGATGACAAGATAATGTTGTAAAACAGTAATAACCACGTAAAACAGTAGAAGAAAATAGCTTTTCAATGTTTAATTCAATTAAAATTGCTCTTCACTGATTGAAGTGCAATACATTTGAACATTGATCAATCCACTAGTTTTCAAAAGTTTACTAGGATTCTAGGAATAAGTTATAAAACACATTTTGTTCGGAGATGAGGACACAGAGGTTCGGACGATCTTGTGTCCACCACCATCCAATATGAATTCTGTATATAAAGGTGAATTCAAATGATAGATTTCCATGCATTTTGCATCTATCGTGCACATCCTACGTATATGTACTGTGTGACCACCACAATGTCCACTCCGCATCTCTAATGTCGCTGATGTAATTTCGCTGGCCCACTTCTATGAATCGCAAATTTTCAGGACGCTTAATTCTTCATAAGGGCTTGATTATCGAGCACTATTATTAAATTTAGAAAAGCTGATCGGTAAAATTGAATCTCAAAAAAAAAAAGAAAAAACCTTTTCATATCTCAGAAAAACGGTTACATGTCTATTGCAATCGCCAAGGATAAAATTCTCTTCAAAGCCAAAACGAACATGCATTGCACTGACGCTTTGACTGATGAACGTTCTTTTATAAGTGGTATTAGCTGTGTGGCTTGAAGTCAGCATGAGATAAGCGTGCCGTAAGAATGCAGTTTTTCGGTGCAACGATAATAGAAGTGCTCAGTGGTCAGCAGTGATTTTAGAACAACTGAACAAGTGTTTTCAGGAGTTCCAACAGCATGGGAGCTTTCTATCGATCGTTCACGTATTATTTGCAAATATCCACAATAACTGCAAGCGTTGCATTGTACATTTTCGTATTCTTTGCTACAAGAAGGCATTCAGCGCGAATACAAAGCACAGTAACGGTAACTTATCTATTCATAGCACCTTTGTTCATTTCAATCTTTCATTGCGTACGACGAAAGAACGATGTCATTCGCACTTTTCTATCGGAATAAGACTTTCACAATGACGAACAACGAGTATCACTTAATTTAGCATAATACATTTTTTGGATAATTTGTGAAATTCGAAGTTTTTAAGTGATCATGACTTATTATTTTTTACACAATTATCGCATTGGAAGAAGTCATTCAGTTGGATACTAACTGAATGAGTTCTTCCAATGCATTGATCTTTTTAAACTCGTTTTTTAAAAATTTTGCTGATTAAATTTGAAATGTCCAAAAATGTTCGTCTGTTTTCTTTTTTTCATTGGCATCGAACAGACTGTTGATGAATCCAGCTAACAATTAGATAAGAATTTCAGCGATCCACAAATTTGGATTTATTTCACAAACGTCAACGAGAATTCACAATAACCATGATCATATCATGCGTGATCACCGTTCTTTTGTACATAGTACCGATTGCTTTCGAGGCAGTCACAAACGGACTGTTGAGTGAGGAGGCGAATGGTTTCGTGATCACTTATTCACTGATAAGCACTAATCTTAATCCAATTATTAACATGCTGCTGGTGGCACGACGGCACAAGGATATTGCTCTGTCAATCAGAAGTATATTCGATCGCAAAACACGTGTTAATGTTTCGATCATCAACACTTCGCATCTTTAATGATGTTTTGTTAATTTATTTTATTGGGTTAGTGCATAAGTTCGTGCGCTTTTATTCAAATTGAATTATTCCGGCGAAAGTCCACTTTTCCGGAGGAGTGTCATAAACCAATCGATAGCGGGTTCTCTGCTCTTTGCAACTGCGTTAGACGGTCTACTGCAGTTCTGTTTTGTCCGGATCTTCAGCGTTATGAAATGAAGTGTCAGGTGGACGAAAAAACGCATTTTTGACAAGTGCTACTTTGTGCATTCAATCGGGGCTCAACGGTCGCTTATGAAATTT